CCAATGAACTATAAGACATCAAACATAAATGTAAAAATAGAACCTCAAACCTAGTACAGCAGAGGATGGATCTACTTTATGTAAACAAACAAAAAAACACCCCCAACCCCCAAATATTCAATGACAAGCTGTGAGAAATGTATGTGGGGTGGATCGGTTTCCAAATTTCAAACACTGTGTACACATTTGATAAGCACAATAGGCTGTTACATAACAGCTTATTATAATCTTTATATTTTTGGTCTAGGCCTTTATACCTAGGCACATGGCTTGGAGGAGTATAGGAGAGCACGTGGCTTGGAGGTGAATTATATTCCTCTGAGAAGACACAAAACTACTACATAAGGAATATCTGATTCACCACTTCAAATTCAGTTTATACCTTTTTCAGCACAAAATGCTGCTGTTCAAGGTTTTTCATAATATGATAAAGAAGTGTTGTGTTACCATCTGTATCGATATAGACATGCACTAGAGTTCTGAGGGTACATTGTTTTTCTGAAGCACTGTAAGCATTACTATGTGTGCCAAAAAGCTTTGAACTACTGTCACTCTCAATGGCATCACAGTGCATTCCTTAGCTTTTATTTACAAGAATTGTCACATTGTGCATATGCTCAACCTAAGCAGGTGAAGTTATTTACTCGTTTCATGAATGTCCAGAAGGTCTTTCTGTATTGCATTATTACAATATAGAAATTGCTAATATGTTGGTGATTTTTAACATTGTGAGCAGTATTCAGATTACAAAAAATGCAAATGGGTAACAGGTATTATACAAATATAAGTCACATCTATATTAATGATGTGACTTATATTTGTATAATACCTGTTACCCAGAAAGTTCCCAAAGAACTTTCCAGACTTCACAAACTATGGGTCATACTTACACCAGTTTTGCACTCCACTCCATTGATTTCAGTTGAGTTAATGTATGCCTGATTTGTACTGTGAAAATTTGCTCAGACTTAATACGTAGTGTGATCACATCACCCACTACTGAAAAGTAAATTGTTTATATGTTATTTATATATATTATAAACACATAAACAAATATTATTCCAATTATGCCTTTTGAGACATCAGGTAGACTTGTTGACTTACTGTTAACTGTTTGTACTCTTTTTAGATAAAAGTAATAGTTTTAAACTTTAAATATTCTGCTAATGGCATGTCTTTAACTATTGCCTTTCAAAAGCCTTAGAGCATTAGTATTTAAATTTTATTTTGGTTGCTTTTTGTTGACATGTATGTGGTTTTCACACATTTAAACTATGGACATATATCGTGACACACGAGGATAACTGTTTAATTGGCCACATGAACCAAATACCTTCCACCCTCACTCCATGTGCACACTTCCCAGCATGTAAAAAATACCCACAATATAACCAAGTGAATGTTTAACTTATACTAGATTAATATTGAAGGATAGTTTCATTCTACATCATTTGCTATTTTTTCTCTAGTGTTTTTGTTTTATTATTGCTTGTGGTTCTTGTACATTATTTGAAGTTACTACAGCAACCTGTCACCATCTGGTATGATAAAGTATGCTGGGATTAGGGTTGCTGGGGCTGAAGTTTGTCATCTTTCTCCTACAACCCTATCACTTTCTTAATAGTTCTTTTCCCATCAGTGCTACACATGCAGCTCATGGACATTGACTTTGGTGGGAATGGGGCAAATGGACATCTCCCCTCTCCAAGGCTTACAAAGCCACATTTGATTTCTTGATTGAATATCTTATCATTGACTATGTCATTTGTTTATACTAAATCTGTAAATAGGTTAGTTTCTTTTTAGCTAACACTTTGCAGTAGTTGTACGAAGACTGCAAGACACACTCTACAGTTCTTTAAAGTTTGATGGATCATGGTGTTTACTGTTCAGGAGTTTTGAGTGTTTACTGGAAGAGTGGGTTTCCTCATCTGTATCTCATTGCCCTTTGACATCCTAAGTGATGCTTTTTGTTCCTGATAATGATATAAGCAAAATATTCTAACAGCTAATTTTTTTTCAGACTGATGTATTTCATTTTTCCAAGTGCTGTCAATTATTTGGTTAACAGACACAGCTTTGTTAAGAAGTTATATTGTCAATCTGGTGTGAAGATGTTTCTGTGCATGAAGGTGGTAAATTAATGTACATGATTTATTGCATCTTTTCATAATAATGTATTCTAAGCAGAAATCTTCCTGTTAACATCATTTTAAGTATTCCTTCATCAGTCAAGTGTTCACTGTGATTACACTTATTTTTACACATGTTTGACCTAGTTTCAATCATGCATCTCTCCTGTGATTCATAAGATACATCTTAACAAGGCTAAGCACAGCTGAAATGACCTGTCAAGTTTATTTGGATAACTTCATCTTCTCTGCAACTTGCTTTATTTGCATTTAAATATTCAGTTCCCTACATACAGTGCTTCTTTAAAAAAGAAACTTCACATCATCACAGTCAACTAGCATGTTTGCAGGAGGTTCCTGATTCCAAATGTCTTATGCCCAAGTTATAAACATACTAAGTGAATTTAAAAACTGATTGCTTAATTTGTGGAGTTTACTTTATTGTGAAGCAGTTAATGGTTCTTAAATATTATAAGATTCTTAGACAATGTAGGATAATTTAGATGAATATACATATACTTGCTGACAGAATTGTGAAGTATACTTAAGTTCTAACAGTGTGAGAATGGTGATGTTGAGAATGCCTGAGCACTTGTGAAATGAGAGACTATACCTGTTTCTTGCTGGCTTTTGGAGAGGGGGGAGAGCAAGTTTTCAACATAAGAAATCAAGTGGTTAATTATAATACTCAGGGTTGCTTCATGTAAACGATTAAAGGTCATAAACAAAGTTAATATACCAATATAAATTTAATATACTGTTCAGTCTTAACATGATATTGGGAAGTGGAGGGGGGGATCAGATTTTTGACAGCAAACCTGCTGTGCTGGCACCTTCCATTTCATATATCAATCAGTCACACTGCTGTGAAAGTTGACAGGTTTGCTGCCGGAAACTGTCCTACAAAATTGTGATATTTATTGGTAGCAGAACTGCTTTCATTAACCAACATATGTCATCTGTTAATTTCCACAATTCCCATTTACAAGTTACTAAACACAGGCACTCATGCTAGACTGTAATACTATACTGCTAGACAGATTTTAAAAGTTGCACCAAATAAATTAACATTCTTAAAGTCATTTTGGCTGAACAGCAAGATAGTACATCTACTAGAGTCTAGTACAGAGAGTGCTTATCTCAGCAAATGGTTACTTCAAATTAGTGGGAGAAAACACATTCTGTAGCATCTCTTAAAGCTTCTTAAGGAGAAAAATACAACACATGCTTTCATGTGTAATATTCTGTAATTTGTGTTGGCAGTTATTTCTTTCAAAATTGAAATCAAGACATTGGAAAAAATTAAGTCTCACCACTGCACCCACTGCAGCTTCCTGGCAGTTGTGGATTTGAGTTCACAAAAGAGTCTAATTTGAGCAATACCTGTAAAAGTAAACTACTGTAGGACAGAAAATCAGCATTTCCTTTTAGAAGAGCATCAGTAACCAAAACCATACAAATCCTTACCTGAAAGCTTTGGGATTACCCGCAGAAAATGTATCTTCTTAGGCTTACATAGTAGGCAAGGTTCTGGCTAGCACTAATGTTACTCCAAAAGAAGGTATAATAAATCCTTTATATTGGAATTTTCACTGTTTATATGCAAGAACTGTACTGGGTCTGCTCACGTAGGAATAAATAAAAAAGCAGTACAAACTGAACAGCAGCTACCATATGAAAGTAAAAGACCTCTAGTGGCCATAACCTGAAGTTAAGAAAGGTTTCCCTTTTTTGCAGTATGTAGTAGCCAAAATGGTTGGGTGGGATAAACTGCAGCTGATACTTTACAGTAATGTGTGATCTTGTTGAATTTATGATGGTAACAAAATATAAAGTCAATCAGAATTAAGAGAGGAATCTGATTTCCCAAAACCAGTATAAATTAGAAATGAACTTCTGGTTGGAAAGATCAGGGACTCCCTTGTAAACTTATCAAATACAAAGTTTTGAGTAAATCTGTCAGAAAACAGTTATTTTCTAGACTTGCCTCTGCTTCATATTGTTTTTCTTTTAGAGAAATCCAAAGATTATTTTGAGTTGCTCATTATCAAAATAATTATTGTAATTTTTGCAACATAAAAAGTATCAATAGGAAGAGATACTGTGTTCCTCAAAGGGAAACTTCAGTCATTTAGCCTTACCCATATATCCTGAAGGTTTGGCAAACAAGAAGCACTTCTGTAAAATGAAATGGAAACCTAAGATTATAAATTACTTTCCATTTTATTTCAATTCCGTTTTAAAATTCAAAAGAATATAGTTTTACAGAATTTAATAGGGATGAAAACAGTTGGCTCCTATACACATTTGATAGGGTTCAACAGAAGCTACTTGAAAAATCTAAAAAAATTAAGCAAATACTTTCTCTCTCTTTTTAGATTTTCGTATCCTTCCTGTAGAATTCTGTAGCAGGGATATAATTAATTTTTTTATGAATATTCAAAAGGATCTTATAGAAAGTTTTCATTTTCTATGAATCTGTTATGCAAAAGTCCTATGGAAGTCCACATTCATTTTAGGAATTTTAAACCGCATACAAATTCATGTCCTGTAGGAAGTTGGATTTACTGTCTCTCACACTGAATTCCCTTAAGAGTGATACCACTTTTTCAACAAAGAAAGTTGCTTTGAGTAGTATCCTCAGTATTGCCAGTTGTAAGTTATTGTTAAGTATATTTTACAATGTATACACAGTGAGAAGCACTTCTTACCTTTTGAAAATTCACATTCTTGGGCTGGCACAGGTTTTGTTTGTTTTTAGTGATATAGTGATTTGGCATTGCAGGATATAATCCATTATTCTCATTTCCTTCTAAATCAACAATCTAGATGTGCATTTCCTTACTATTTTTTCTTTTTTTGTTTTAGAGTCATTTTGTGGCATGCATGACAGCAATCTTAAACCAAATGGACAACCAACATTACTCCTTTTACATTGAAACCTTTCAGACAACTTCAGAGCTAGTGGTAAGTACAAAGTATCCACATTTAAAGCTGGCAAATAGACAAATGGCTCTCAAATATTTCATATTCTGCACTGGACTACTCAGTACACTTGATTCTAGTAGCCATAATTGTTTAAGAAGAACAGATGGCTTTACCAAATACTAGTTATTATTTCTA